CGGCAGACTGGCTCTAGTAAGGACATTAGTATCGGGTACTTTGTCCTGCCATCTGATTTTTAGAAGCTTTCGCAGACAGGAAATGTGGAAGTGATTGAGCCTTCGTGCATGACTCCGATAGACAGTTCACGTCTCGCAGGCGTACAGCAGAGTTGGAAGCACCACTGCTCGGTAGACCTTCAGCTTCGTTGACAGGCTGATCCCTCGACGTTCCCAAACATTGAAGCGCAATCGGCCAAATGCAGAGCTGGCTTTAGCAATTCTGCAGTTTACTTCATCATCGATTGACACTGCTCGGGAAAGAATACTGCCCAGGTACGTGAAGTGGTCCACTGTCTGAAGTCTCTGTCCATTTACAGTGATGGACAGTTCTGAGTATGGAGTGTGGGGAGCTGGCTGATGCATGACCTCAGTCTTCTTGATGTTAATAGAGAGACCGAAGTTATTGCATGCAGTTGAAAACTTGTCCATACTGGCTTGCATTTCTGGCTCAGTACTAGCATTCAGAGCACAATCATCAGCAAAGAGAAAGTCTCGAAGTACAGTTTCCTTCACCTTGGTGATAGCACGCAGTCGCCTCAGATTGAATAATTTCCCATCAGTTCTATACTTCAGGCCTACTCCTTCAGTGCAGTGTTGAAAGGCATCAGTCAGAGTGGCAGAGAATATCATGCTGAACAAAGTGGGTGCTAAAACACACCCTTGCTTGACGCCGTTGGTGACTGGGAAGGCCTCAGATGTTTCACCGTCATCCAGGACACGAGCCATCATACCGTGATGAAATTGACGTACCATTCGTATAAATCTGTCTGGACAGCCAAATTTCGACATGATCCTCCACAGGCCCTGGCGACTGACAGAGTCAAATGCTTTCGTGAGGTCCACAAAAGTTGTGTAGAGTTCACGATTCTGCTCTTGACATTTCTCCTGTAGCTGACGCACAGCAAAGATCATGTCAATAGTCCCATGACCTTTGCGGAAGCCACACTGTGATTCTGGCAGTAAGCCCTTCTCCAGGTGAGTAATCAATCGGTTCAACAGAACCCGTGCAAGAACTTTCCCCGCTGTAGAAAGCAGCGAGATTCCACGGTGATTGTCGCATACCTGGCGATTGCCCTTCCTCTTATAGAGGTGCAAGATGGACGCGTCTCAATTCCTGTGGAATGGTTCCCTGCCCCCAGAAGGACTGAAACAGCTCAGTGAGTTTCCGTAGCAGCACGGGTCCACCGACTTTGTACACCTCTGCTGGTATGGCATCTGACCCTAGGGCTTTGCCACTTGACAGCTGATTGATAGCTTTCTTCACTTCGTCCTCTTCTGGTGAAGCATCCATGGAGTCATTGACTGCAACTTGGGGCATCTTGTCAATGGCCTCATCATTGATGACTGAGGGGCGATTGAGAATTGCTTCAAAGTGTTCAGCCCATCTCTGGAGAATCTGCGTCTTCTCTGTAAGGAGCACAGTACCATCAGAGTTCAGGAGGGGAAAACTCCCAGAAGACTGTGGACCATAGAGTGTGTTAAGGGCTTCATAAAACTGCTTAAAGTCGTTCCTGTCTGCATATGCCTGTATTTCATCTGCTTTGGCGCTCAGCCACAAGTCCCGCATTTTGCGCAATCGGTTCTGTACTGTTCTGCGAACGTTGATAAAGGCGGTGGTCTTTGCCGCCGAGGATGGATCGTTTTGATATGCACGATGCAGGCGGTGCTTCTCAGCAAGTAAGGCCTGGATTTCTGCATCATTTTTATCAAACCAGTCTTGCCGCCTGCATGTGGAGGGCCCCAATACCTTCGATGCAGCTGTATGGACAGTGTTGCGGAATCGCTCCCAGTCTTTCTCAGCGTCATCCTCAATACGAAGATCAGCAAGCTCATTCTCTAGGTCTTCTGCTAGATTTTCAGTGATGCGGCTGTTCTTCAGCTTCGACACATTGATCCTTTTGAGAGTCTTACAGCCTTGTGGTCGTCTCTTCGGCATGATACGGAGCTTCATTTTGGATACTATGAGCCTATGATCCGTCCAACAGTCAGCGCCACACATAGCTTTTGTAACCCTGACATCTTGTCTGTCCCTTCTCCTGATGATGACATAATCGATCAAATGCCAGTGCTTGGAACGGGGATGCATCCACGAAGTCCTGTTGCGGGTAGGAAGGCGGAAGACCGTATTGCTGATCAGAAGGCCACGTGCTGCACAAGTTTTCAGCAGTAACAGGCCATTGCCGTTGCACTTTCCCACTCCATTTTTCCCCGATGACTCCTTCCCAGGCTGCGGCATCGCATCCGACTCTTGCGTTAAAATGGCCAAGCAGAATCAGCTTGTCTGTGCGGTGCACTGACGATAACAGAGTATCTAGTTCTTCGTAGAATTTATCCTTCACATCCTCTGGGTTGGTCGTTGTAGGAGCATATGCGCTGATCAAAGTAGCTTGTTTTCCTTTTTGAAGCGGAAGCTGCATTGTCATGAGCCGGTCATTCGTACCCTTGGGGGAACTGGCAAGTTTCCGAACAAGATGATTCTTGATGGCGAAGCCAACTCCAGATTCGCGACGCTCATCACTGCTGCGGCCACTCCAGAAAAATGTATAGCCACCACCTGACTCGGATAGCTGTCCTTCATTAGCAAGGCGAGTTTCGCTAAGGGCTGCAATATCAATGTTGTAGCGTGCGAGCTCTCTAGCGACAAGTGCTGTTCTTCTCTCCAGTCTGTCTGCCGTGATGTTGTCCAGTAACGTGCGCACATTCCATGTGCCAATAGTGATCAGTGTCACTCTAAATTTTGTTCTTATTTTTGTTCGACCGCTTTTATGGGATCCCCACCAGCTGCGGTATGCTGGCCAGGGTAAGGTGAAGCAGGCAATGTTTAGGGCACCTTTTCTAGCCCCCTCCTCGTTCTACGGAGGTGAGCAGTGCAATCCTGAATAGGGCTGCTCAGTCGCTCAAGAAGATGCCGAGCTCCACTGCTGCTTCGGTCAGTGAGGAACGACCATTATGCCTGAGCCGCCTATGTGCAGGTCCGCGGCTACAGCTCCCAGTGTATCCACACCTGCTGCTTCGTCGCTCGCCCATCGCCACAGGACTTGATGTGATATGATATATGATGTCGAGACTTGCGCGTGAATTGGATTAAAGTGAGGGAGAGTTGCGCAACGTCAGCCTCACTCTCTCTTCCCAGTTCCTATCTGTATCCAGTGGCAGGACAGAAGTCGAGACGGCTGGAGATAGGACAGGGCGCAGTGGAGGACCAGGACGCCTACGTGTCTTGTCGTGCTCTTAAGCGTTCCACAACGCTTGCTGTCACCGCCTTCCTGACCATTGAACCAGGTTGCCTCAGTCAGCCGGATCCAGCCTTCGCATGCAATGGGTAGACAAGCCCTGACTCACCGAGAGTCTCATACTCATCAGCTACCCTCACCTGGTTTAGCCCGCCAGTCGAGACGGTCTCCGGGGTGTGGCCGCTGTCGCATGCTGACAGCTACTTGGAGCCACAGGTGAGAGCTGGGTGTCAAGTGGGGACCAAAGTGGATGAGCTACTCCTAGGAGTACGACTGCTCCCCCATCAGAGGTACTACCCCTCCCTGACAACCCCATACACCCCGGACTTTGATAGGGCTGAAAGAAAGGCCAGATTGCTTAAGATCTAATAAGTAGTCGTCAAGTATGGGCAGAAAAGGTGCAGAAGTAGGAGGAAGTGGTTTAGTTGAGCACCATTGTGTGAATCGCTTCCACTTTTGGAGATATGTTGTGCGAGTAGATTGTGTTCTGCTATGTAGGAGCACTCTTTGAACCTGCTCAGAGCATACTAGATGGTTTTGGGAGAACCATGTAGGAACCAAGCTTTGAGATAAAGCATGGACAGAGGTTGAGGTGAAGAAATCAGCCGTGTTGCTGCGATACGAGGTTCGGAGTGAGGGGCAATGAAATCGGTGGGCGAATTGACATTCTGGTGAGGAACGGAAACCACGGTTGTCTGGGCCACAACGGGGCAATGAGAATTACCGTGGCATGATCTGTCCATATCTTTGTCAGAACTCTGTGGAGAACTGCTACTGGGGGGAAAGCATACATTAAGTGTTGAGCCCATGAGATCAGGAATGCATCTCCTAGGGAATGGTTGCCCAATCCCACTCTGGAGCAAAATTCGGAACATTTCTTGATTTTCACAGTCACGAAGAGGCCCAGGGTTGGATAGCCCCAAACGCGGAATATATTGTGTATGATCGTGTCGTTTATCTCCCATTCGTGATCCCAGGGAAAATGTCTGCTTAGTTTGTCCGTGGTGGTATTCAGGGCCCCGGGAAGATAGGCGGCTGATATCCAGATGTTGTTCGCGAGGCACACCAGAGCTTCATGGCTTCTGTGCAAAGCGAGTGAGATTGAGCCCTTCCCTGCCTGTTGACACAGAACATGCACGCGATGTTGTCTGTCATTATCTGAACATGTTGGTTCTGAATGAATGGGAAGAAGTGACGGCAGGCATTGCATATGGCTCACAGTTCTAGGACGTTTATGTGTAGGGAGGCTTCGGTGGAAGACTATAGCTCCTGGGCTGTATGGTGGGACATGTGTGCTCCCCATCCCGTGAGGGATACATCAGTAGTCATTATGAGTGATGAGGAGTCCTGGAGAAAAGGGATTCCTGAGCAGAGGTTGGAGGGAACTGTCCACCATTGGAGGGAGTCTTTGACTCTGAAGGGTATGGACAGAGGCTTGTTTAGAGCGTATACGTTCAGTCTGTAAACCGTGGCCAACCAAGCTTGGAAGGCACCTCATGTATAGGTGTGCATTTTTGACCATGAAAGTACACGAGGCCATGTGGCCTAATAGTTTCAGGCAGTCTTGTGCAATGACCTGGGGACTGTTGCGAAGTTTTGTAACCAGGAGTTTTATGGTGTTGAAATGATCAAGCAGGAGAGACACTATTCCCGTTCCGGAATCGAGATGCGCTCCTATGAACTCCAGTTGGGTAAGAGAGAAGGTGGATTTGTTTTTATTTGTAGGCCAAGGGAAAGGAAGCAAGCGACAGTAAGCTGCGTGGATCGAAGAGCTTCGTCAAGTGTTGAGGCTTTGAGGAGACAATCGTCGAGGTAAGGAAATATTATAACCCCGTTTCCTGAGGTGGGCAGTAACCATGGCGAGGAGTTTGGAGAAAACTCAGGGGGCGGTAGATAGGCCGAAGGGCAACACTCTGTATTGAAAATGTGTCAAACCAAGAGTAAAATGAAGAAAACGTCTGTGGGAATAGTCACATGAAAATAGGCGGCCTGTAGGTCGAGGGCTGAAAACCAATCACCCTGCTTCAGTGCTGGGATTATGGTGGTGAGGGTAACCATTTTGAACTTTTGCTTTTTGATAAATTTGTTTAGCCACCTGAGGTTGAGGATCGGTCGCCATCCCCTGGTTTTCTTTTCTGTTAAGAAGTAATGGGAGTAGAAACCTTTCCCTCTGTGTTGTTCGGGCACGATTTCCACTGCCCCCAGTTGAAGGAGATGTTGCTCTTGAGAAGAGTCCCTGAACAGGGACAGAGAGGGTGGGTGGGAGGGAGGGAGGAAGAGGAAAGGGATGGAATAGCCAATTGTGATGACCTCTAAAGCCCACTTGTCGGTGGTAATATTTCACCATTGATGGGAGAATGGGCGTAGGCAATGACCAAAAATAGGGGCAGGCGGTGTAAGCACTGAAGTGGAAATATTGTTTTCTATACCCTCAACCAAGGCTTCAAATTCGCTTAATTAGTTGGAGGGAGTTGAGATGCTGCTAAGGAGTTGGGACGGCGGCGTTGGTATCTGGATCTCTGGTGTTGCTGTTGCTCATGAGATCTATGGAATTGCTGGGTGTATGTGAGATAGCATGGTCGCTGATAAGGCTGATATCTATATTATTGCCTTCTAGTCGTAGGGGTTTGAATTTCTAGAGACCGGAGAGTTGCCCTGGAGTCCTTGGAGTGGAGTGGAGTACGTGATTTGTGGTGGAGGCGAACAGTTTGTCACCGTCGAAGGGGAGATCCTCAATGGTACACTGGATCTCCCAGGGAAAGGGAGAGGACAAGAGCCATGACCCTCAGCGCATCTTGACTGCTGTGGCTGTGGACTGTGCCGCAGTATTGGCCACATCCAGGGCAGCTTGGAGAGCAGTGTGGGAGATGATTTGTCCCTCGGAAACTGGCTGTAAATTGTTTCTTTTCTTCTGGAACGTGCTCAATAAAGTCCATGAATTTATTGTAATTTTTGTGGTCGTACTTTGCTAGTACAGCTGTATAATTAGCAATGCGAAACTGCAATGTGGAAGAAGCGTATACCTTATGTCCGAGCAGATCTACTCGCTTACTGTCCTTGTCGGAATGGGTGGAGCGGGGAAACTGGTGTTTGTTCTTTTGGTTAACTGCATCTACTACCAGCGAGTTTGGCGCTGGGTGAGTAAACAGGAATTCCGAGCCCTTGGAAGGAAAAAAGTACTTTCGGTCTGCTCTCTTACAGGTAGGCAGGCTTGCAGCCGGGGTTTGCCAAATTCTAAAAGAGATGCGTAATGCAATTCTAGAAGAAGAGGGCTGCAGGATGTCAGTTAGCTCATGCTGCTGTTCAGGGACTTCCTCCAGGTTAATTCGTAGCTCATTGGCAATTCTTTTAAACAGGTCTTGAAATTTTGAGAAGTCGTCCGAAGACATCGGGGGGGGGAGGAGGAAACAATGCTTCATCAGGCGGAACAACTGGTTCTACCAGGTTAGAGACAGACCGTGCTTGCTCTTGCAGTTGTGACAGGGCTGCCTGGTGTCTGGAGTCAGTGGCAGGGTCATCAGCTGGTGGTACCAAGCCAGTCTCATGCCAAACTACAGTGGTATAATGAGTGTGGTCGCGAGTATAAGGAGCCCACGGAGCCCAATACTGCCACTGTGGTGGGAAGGACATGGGTAGTGCCATCCAGGGTTCACGCCCCATGGGGCAGGACCCTCGGAGTAGGACGAGGCAGCTTTTCTATGACCTCTCTTGATTGGGGTCTGTGGACGGGAGATCTGATAAGGTGAAAATTCTCCCTGCAGCCCAGATTCCTCATCACTGGAGGAAAGCTGTGCGGACCTTGTCCAAGTGTCCGAAGAGAAGTAGGTGTTAAGCAGGGGTGACTGCAAGATAAGTGACACCAGCAGGTCCCTTGAGTGTGTGAATTGTGGTGCTGCAGCGCCTCTGAGTGGAGGGGTGTGCGAGAGGAATTTGTTGTGAGGAGGGATTCCTCTGCACCGGTGTCCTGAGCGTTCTGTCACTGCCGGCTAGCTCAAAGGCTGACGGTGTGAGAGTGAGAGGAGCCTGCAGGGGGGTCAGGCAGACTAGTGTGCGTCGGCACTGCTTCCATTGCGGTGCCGAACGGTGCCGTGTGAGAGGCAAGCAACTGAAAGCCTGAAGCTTCGGCACCGGAGATTAGTGCGACCGTAACCACCGCAGCCGGAGGAGCCTGGCGCATCAAAGGTATTCAGCCGGGGGAGCGTGGGGAGGAAAGCAGTACCCAGAGAAGGCTTATCCCTGCCAATACCCTTTGCGGGTGAGAGAGACTGATGGGTTTTTTTGAAGTTTTCTTTTGTCTCTTTGTTGCGGGGTACAGCAGAGTCAGAGCCCGGGCGGGTCTGAGGGATTTTTGCAGCAGGAGTAGTTTTAACCGCAGGTCCCTGTCTTTGCATGCCCTGGATTTCAACTTGCTGCAGTGGGCACATTTTTGGGGGATGTGGGACTCCCCCAAACATTTAATACATTTAGAGTGGCCATCTGAAAGAGGGATGGCATCATTACAGTTAGAGCAGCGCTTAAAACCTGGAGAGCCAGGCATGTCGGAAGCGGCTGCGGTGACAGGAACAAAAAGGTCTTCTTTGTTTTTTTTTTTTTAAGAAGAGAAGAGACGGGAAAAGGATACCTAACTAATACTGGTAAGCTAAACTAAGAAGGAAAAAAGTTGAACAAGGGAGAGTTGAACACAGGCTCTGCGCGTGTGTGACTGGTACAAGTACTCTGAGCGAAGGCGCAAGGACGCACCAACACCTGAAGTGGAGCACCCACAGGGACATCTCTCAAAGAAGAACAAAAGGTTTGAACCCTCAAAATAAGTAGTTAAATCAACTGATTGCATACAAATGTTACAGTACTATAAAAATATATCAAGGTCTTCTGAAATCTTGTAATGTTCTAAACTAAATCATTAGGAGATACATACACATTTTCATGTATTTGTATATATAGAACACTGTGCTGCAACTTCAGCAACACTTTACAGTAGGGTGGTGAGCAGGCTTCAAGTAACTATCCGTTGTCCATCCCAGGAAAGGACAACAGTGGACCATTACAGTTAATGGAAAGTCTCTGAAATAACTCGAAGTTGAAAAGAACACAGTGGCTCCCCAACATCAAATCAGGAGGAAATTTCACAACTGTGATTAACCATGAATCATCACGGACTGAGAGAAAAAAACAGAGAGAAAAGGAAAACCCTTTTAAAAACAGGCTTGGAACTGAGCTGAATCCAGAAGGTGGGGGACAGTCTCAAGGCAGGAGGCGGTTTGTGAATGCTGGATCCCTCCTATAGTTAGGGGGTATGCTGGGAAACTGTATTAAGGCAATAGGTAACTTGTATTAGAAAAGGGAATTTATCTGACATAGAAGTGTAAAGGCTGAGGTTATGTCATCATGTTTATTTTCTGTGTGAGTCAGATGTTTGCTTTCCCTTACTATTTCATCTTTGATCTGTGGATTTTCTATTAAATACAACTTTTTGTTCATTTGTCCCAAACAGGTCTCTGTTGGGCAAATTGTGTGGCATGTGCGCGCCATGGTGACCTGAGAGCTGGGTTCACACCTTTGGGGGCAATGAACCACAGGGGAAAAGTTTAAGTGCCTGGGAGGACATATTTGGGGAGATGCAGGACTAGAAGGGTTGTTGGTGTCACCTTGCAAAAGAGTAAGTAGGCTAGTGAGAGCCAGGGTGACACCTTATGCTTGTGGGCTGACTACTGGTATCAGGGATCTGAACCATAGCTGCACAGTACAGAGGTCCCCCAAGTACTAAGGCAGGCGTGACAGAACCCTTTACAGGTCTGGGTAGTCTCCAAAGTGTCACACCAGCTCTATATAGTACCCAAAAGGTAGACAAAGTCTAACAGGATTTATCAGATAGAGATGCAGGGCTAGACTTGCAAAATTGGGTGTGCACACACACATCTGTGTATGACTAACTTAAGCAAATACCCTGAAGGGGCACAGATACAATATGGCTAGTGTTAATTTTTAGTTTTTGTTGGTTTTTGGAAAGGAGATGGAGAAGCATTGAAACCTAAGTAAAGAGCTAGTTTCTAAAAAAAGAAAATTCCAACTATAGAGGCTTTCAACACTAAAGAATTGTATCAGAATGGATGGCAAAATTAGACTGGTCAGTTTCACATAGAAGTTCTGATACAGACAGTAAAATGCAAGAAGTCAGACATCCATGGTGAAAAATAGTATAGAATATTTAAAAACAAACTAAGAGCAGGGTCAAACACACACCCAGAACCATATAAAGTTCTCTGTAAGTGCAGCAAATAGACTCATGCTACTACTGGCTACTGCTTTCAGAACTCCCTAGTCATGCCAGAGATGCCATCTCAAAGGTGTCTCTCATTCAACTGACAGCTTATAAATGCGTGATTGCTTTATTTTTTTTTTCTATTTTTGAGACGAATGGGTAATCATAAGAACCTGAGATGGCGTCCTGCCCAGTAGGCAACTAGTGCCTTGGGGCTAAATCCTATTTACTCTGAGATAAACCTACCACAAATTAAAAGTCCCCCAATGCAGATTACTTTTACTCCGAGTAAAAGTTGTAGCTAAGATACCCCAGTTAGTGCTTTTAAATTTCATGAGCACTGATGACCTGATAAAATCTTTCTTTCACTACTTGAATAGGTACAACATGGACAGTGGCAGCTCAAATCTCTCCCCAACTCTCCCTCCAGCCAAATATACCTATATCCACTATTTTGTATAGATCTGATCTTGCAATTCTTGGAAAAATATGGCAGCAATAAGTGTCCTGTAACAGATTTTGCTATATTGATTGAACTGAAATCGAGTGAGCCAAAGACTATGATCTGTTTTAGAAACAGGAGAGAATTGTTTCTCTACACATGATAAATGTATTCTATGCTCCAGACTAAAAAATAATTATTTTAAAGAGACGAGTATTTGGGGGGGGGGGGGGGGGGGGGAGGGAGACGAGAGGGGACCCTCACACACCTTTATGCAAAATCCACTGAAACTACCATTATATACATATATAATCACTTGTCACAAAATTGTATTTGGTAATAGGAGTTTTCAGCATTATTTTCAAACTGTAAACACCAGCCTGCAGTATAACAATTGACTATATTCTCTCAATACAGCAATACAATCCTGAGATTCAGGGATGACAGTGATGGAAAAAATCAGTGATAACAGACGGGAGGAAACTGAGGGGTGTTTGGGTGGTAGGGACCACTGAAAAGCAGGGATGAACAGTGGAGGAGCCACCTGGTAGGCTACCACACAATTAACAGCTGATAAGAGAAAGGTTCTAGCTGCATGTCAGCTGATGGGCAGGATGAATACAGGGAAGCTGTAAGTCAGGGTGGGGAGAGTTGGCTCTGTATAGCAAAAAGGGCTTACAATTGTTGAACAAACTGTACCAGACTCATGACTAAAACAGCATGCTGGGATTAACTGAGTGCTGATGGGTGTGCTCAGGCCTTCTGAAACCAGGCCACTAATTTAGGTACCTAACTTCAAGCACCCACGTGTGGAAAACTTTGCTGTAAGATTATGATAAAGTTCTATGAAGCATGAAGAAACACATTTCGTAATAAAAACAAGATTCTGACCATGGAAACAACAGGCTCCAACAGCTTATCCCCTGGGACATCCATCCAGGTCATTTCAATGGCATTAGGAT